CCTTGAGATGGCCATTCAGTATTTTGCTTCGGCCACTCTAATTCACATAACGTTCTCAGGCGCTCTGGCGTCATTTTGACTCCATACGCCCCTGAGAAGGCTTTCTTAAAATTATTTAACATACATTCAAGAGGTGTATTTTCCCCTTTTGAACCCCCAACTCCCATTGTATGGCCCTGTGAAGTATCCACTCAGTCACTCACACACACGCTTCGTGGGTTTCCTTGCCCAGATGGAGTCGCCTCACTGGGAACCGAAGTACTACCCACTCCACACTCAGGTCAGCTACAGATTGCTCTGTACTTTCTCACACATACAATGCGTTAGATACTTCACCACACTCTACCTCCCATTCTTCCCTTTTCCCCCACCAGACCACCATCTGATGTATCCAACCACCTAGCGTACTCAGTTCCCACTTACTGAGACGCAGAAGTTTGATCAAGACTTCTCTTCCTCCCAATTAATTGGAGGGCCAAAAATCCCTTTGTGCACTTACCCCTGGTTGGTTCCGTTTCCCCCCGGTCCGTCGCCGCCAGTGAGCAGGGTATCAGACAGACGAGACTTCTGCGTTCCCCCTGGAAAAATTTACCAGTGCGCGCTTGGGTAAGCAGTTTAGAGATCCTCTCTCTTGTACCCTGCTCAGTAGAGCGAAGGGGCTGCGTTCCAGCAGACCACTTATCCGAGTCACAGGGCACCATAAAATGTAGCACCCTGCCATTATGGCCAGCACTTATATTCCCTTAATCCAGCCCCCTTTGCTCCTCCTTGGGCTGCCTCTGTCCAATCAGCCTGGTTGGATTTCCTATTGGCTGATTGCTATAACCAATCACAATAGATACACCCATTTCCTTCTATCCTTATAAGGGAGACAAAGAGCTATATATAAATGACAAATAAGTAATAATATATCTTACATGGAATCTTAATTACCAGCTCACCTCTTGCCCTCCTTGCCCTATTGCCTTCTAAAACAAATGGTTAATCTTAAATTTTTATCTTAAACATATGTCAAGGATCTTGAGTTTCACATCAACATTGAAAGATATCCTTCATTTGAAGGTTTCTAAACAAATGTCTGACAGCTAATATATCAGGACAGCATTTGATGGCGTCTTCTTGTCTGGCAGGGGGCTGGACTGGTGGCTGACTTAATTTCAAGATAAATACAACTCTTCTAGCATTTGTTAAATCCTTTGCATAATTACATTTAAGCCAATATATTTAAGCTAATATATTTCATACATTATCATAGGTAACCTTTTAAAAGGAATAAGGCCTTTTTAAAGTAGAGAGAGAAAGAGAAAAAAAAAAGAACTCAGTTTAAAACAGTTTCAGAAGAAGGCTCTTCAGTTTACATCCCCCCCCCTTCAGCAAGCTGCTTTTCCCATTATCTGTTTAAGGAAGAAACAGCTTTAAAAAGACTTCCCAGCTAGATGCTTTAAAAGGACTTCCCAAAAAGCCTCTCTTTCTCTGTCAGCTAGATGTTTTTTCTCCCATTTGCCTCTGGCCTTAGAAAATACAGCTCAAGGTTTAAAAGAGGCCCATGGTATCATTTTACTATTTGCCCATTCCTAATTATGTTTATCTCTGCCTTTTTTATCTTCTATAACATGTAGGGTCAGTGTCATTACTCAGTCTGTAATTTCAGCTTTTACGACTTTGAGAATTGTTTTCTGCTATCAATCAAAAGGGGCCCCTTGTCTAAGAGGAAGAAAACACTGTCAGTGTTTTCTTAAGCAGCTAGCCTTCTTGCCTGGCATGAAACGTTTGAAAATCTTTTAGGCTCTCTCTAATATACAAGTCCTGATCAAACATTAATAAAATGCAGGCTTATGCCTGATGCCTCAGCACGACGCGAGCGCGCAGCACGGATCAGCCACGACCCCACCCCGTGCATTTCCCGGGGAAAAGTGCTCCACGTGGGAGGCGCGTTTCCCCTTCATTCCCTCTCGTGCAAATCCTCCTTGGGTTCCCTCCCCCGTCTTTCCTCTCCCTACCTCACAAAAGCCTCACCTCGTCGCCTCCTCGCTGCCTCTCGCCTCCGCAGGAGCGTTTCCCTCCGCGGAAGAAGGAGCAGGGCGCTTTTGCAACTTTGCCTTCCCCGCCCCACCACGGAGCACATTTTCCTCGCCCCCCCCAACCCCCGCATGTAGAATAGAAGCCCTCCAGCCTCCACGGTGCACAAACTCTCCCCTCTGCAACGAAGCGCTTTGTTGCATATCTTTGGTGAGGTTTTTAGGCAGTCTTGGTGCACCTTAAATCAGCGCTAATTGCGCCTGGACGCAGTATTTACTTCTGAGTAGGCCCCCTTCTCCCCCCCCCCCCCGTAGCACCTGACGTTGCTATTCGTATCATCAGGTTTGTTTGTTGATAATTTAATTGTTTTAAAAGCATCATGCTAAAGAGCTCTCTCCCACCCCCAGACCCTTGGGCAAAACAGAAACACACACATACACAAACACAGAGATTGAGCCCTGCAGGTTTTATGAAATGAATGGATTCTGAATGCCTGTTTCAGTGGCTTGTCCGCCTTAGGCTGCTGGGCCAGACACCTGTTACACGGTGCAGTCCGTAAGCTGTGAGCGCTGCTACCTGCCGCCGAGACCACGTAACGACAGTCTTGAAAGACCTACATTGGCTCCCAGTACCTTTCCGAGCACAATTCAAAGTGTTGGTGCTGACCTTTAAAGCCCTAAGCGGTTTCGGTCCAGTATACCTGAAGTAGCGTCTCCGCCACCATCGTTCAGCCCAGACACTGAGATCCAGTGCCAAGGGCCTTCTGGCAATTCCCTCACTGTGAAAAGTGAGGTTACAGGGAACCAGGCAGAGGGCCTTCTCGGTAGTGGCGCCCGCCCTGTGGAATGCCCTCCCATCAGACATCAAAGAGATAACCATTACCTTCTATGCTGTTACTATTTTTTTATTTTTTTTTACATAAGTAAAAAGTGACCTTTCCCCATCTGGCATGGTGGTGTGCCTCGAGATTTTTTTCATGAAACAAGTGTGCCTTTGCCCAAAAAAGGTTGGGAAACACTGAGCTAAAGAATAATATTCAGTGCAGGCTACATATTAGCTCCAGTATCAGAGGAAGCATACCAGTCTCTGCTAGGAATGGGGGAAGAAACTCAGTTTGGTGCACCTCCCTGATCTGTACTTCTTGAAAGTATATGGAAACTGCAATGCAGCTAACCTTTGAAATTCATAATTCTCCTAATTTTGTGACTCAGTTCTCCAACTAAATAATCTGCACAAACGTTGGGGGGGGGGGAATGCACATTCAAAATGTGTGTATTCATGGAACTAATAGATAAAAATGCATTTGTAGAAATGTACACTAAAATACTGATGAATTTCCTTAAAAAAACATTTATAATCACAGACTAATACACAAATGTGGAGAACTGAGTTTAGGACTGGAAAAATGAGAAAGAGACAGAGAAATTGAAACTGTCAGATTTGTCTGTCTGCAGTCACTAGGGAACAGGAGTGGGAGAATGCTCTCGCACGGGCTTCCCACAGGTACCTGGTTGACCACGTGGGAAGAGAATGCAGAACTGGATGGGTCTCTCTCTGGTCTGATCCAATGGCCAGTTCTGCTTTCTGTGTATGTCCCTGGCAGGAGAAAGTGGAGGAACGCAAAGCGCTCATTGTGTCAGGGTACGAAAGACGCCGCCAGGCAATGGCCGAAGAGGAGCAGCTGCTTTTGAGGCAGCTTCAGGATGAGGAGCAGGAGACGCTGAAGAAGCTGCAGATGAACTGGGCCTTCCTGCTTGGGCAGAGCACACGACTACGGGATCTGATCTCAGAGATGGAGCAGAAATGCCAGCAGCCAGCTGCCTCCCTGCTGAAGGTGAGACTCTACAGAATGGCATCTCCTAACATGACCTTGACAAAGCAGACACAGTTCTGGTACTTCTGGATTCCTTAAGTAATGTGCATAAGGCAGTTTTAGTCCCTGGACATTTACAGGCTTCTCTTTTCTCTCCTCTAGGATGTAAAGGTAGCCTTGACCAGGTCAGTACCCTATAATTTATTGTTATTGTTGTTTAGTCGTTTAGTCGTGTCCGACTCTTCGGGACCCCCTGGACCAGAGCACGCCAGGCACTCCTGTCTTCCACTGCCTCCTGCAGTTTGGTCAAACTCATGCTGGTAGCTTTGAGAACACTGTCCTACCATCTCGTCCTCTGTCGTCCCCTTCTCCTTGCGCCCTCCATCTTTCCCAACATCAGGGTCTTTTACAGAGAGTCTTCTCTTCTCATTATAACTTATATTGCAGCCCACTTACTTAGAAATAAGTCTTGTTGTGTTAATTGGGGCTTACTCCCAAGAATATGAGCATTGGATTGTGACTTGGTCTCATTCATGAAATGGTGCCTTTGGCTTTGGGGGATAATTACCGACATGTTCTCCTTAGGAGTGAGGATGTATCACTGCAGGAACCCCAGCCCATCTCAATGGATCTACAGGACTTATATGATGTTCCTGGGCTGATGGAGTCACTCCAGAGATACTCAGGTAAGTGAGCAATGGTGCAGAGCTGTGTTAGTCATGTGAGCTTGGCAGCAAAGAGAAAGGTTTCTTCTCAGCATGTGGTTGTCATACACAATTTGTAGCTCTGAACTTCAACTGGGTGGGATTACTCAACTAAAGTTTTAATCACAAATTAAAATGAGCTTCTCCAATCTATCTACTGATGAGACTGGTGACAGCTAAAGACTTATGGACTCTTGAATGACTGTTACTTCAGCTGTACTGGCCCTTCCCTCCCTGCATCTGGGTTTATTGAAACAAAACCATAAAATATGCTTTTCATTCAAGCCTGCAGCCAAAGCTCGTTTCCCCTTTCAGAATGACTCACCAGTTGCTTTGATCTTTCTAACCATAAAGAACCACAAGCAGCTGCAACTTTGAGTGCCAGCAACACATCTTTTAAACCTGATGTGCCTATGCATCAGCTCAGCACTTGCCGGAATAACAGGAGTCAGTCGCTTGCTCACCCAACTGTGTCACACCAAAACTGGTATCAGGGTAAAGGTGTGGTTCCATGAGCAGTGCTTCTGCCATCTACCATTCATAAGCCCCTTTGTCATAATTGTCTTGGGTAGAGGTGAATAAATTTCCTGAACACACTTGGCAGGCTAAGACTTATTACCATCATGATTAAAGTGACCTAGGTTACTTCTAGGTAGGGAACTTTGCTGCCAAAAGCTACTTCCAGATTTGAGTGATGTATAGACAGATATGGCAAGTAGCCTTCTTAAGCAATAAAAGACCAGAGAAAGGTCTATCAACAGACAGGATGCTGATTTTATTTGGGCTTCTCCAGGTAACCTGTTTACTGAGCATTCATTCTGCTTGCACAAAACATACCAAGTGGTCAGCCTATACCCAGCTTTGATCATTTGTTCCAATTTGCTTTTGGACTGGTTATATGACAATGAGCATTCATCCGTCATTGACAGCCCCTCCACCAGCTCTATTGAGTTAGGTCAGAGCTAACTCAGTTGTGTGTTGCGACACGTTCGTGTGTCTGTTGCAGTGTGTATGTGTGTCACGCGAATGCTCCCGACGCTCCTCCTGGGACTGGAAAGGGGTTAGTTTAACCTCCAGTTTGCTAGTAAAACTGAATTACTGTGTCACAAGATGATGCATGTCTAAAACGTGTGTCACCAACATGAAAAGTTTGGAAAGCTCTGAGTTAGGTGAACTTGGCTATGGCAAGTCAGCACGGCAATATGGAAGCAACGGCAGCTGGAGGGAGCGCGGTTGCTCTTGTACTCATTTGCCTGAGCACCTTCTTCACTTCAGGTTGGAGCCCCAAGCACAAATACACGCACAAAACTTGGGAGAGAATCATGTATGACTTGGTAGTAGAGCACAGGTTTTGCATGCAGAAGATCTTGGGTTCAGTTCATGACATCCAGAGTTAAATGGATTCTCAGCAGGGGAAAGGAAAGACCCTTGCCTGACTGACAACCTAGAGGAGGAGAAGCCAGTGCAATGCCCTCCAGCTACTCCTGGACTAGAACGGCCATCACTCTGATGCTGGCTGGGGCTGAAGGGAGCTGTGGTCTAGTAGCATCTGTTTAGGCTGTGCATCCCTTAAAGAGCCAACACCAGTAGAGAAAATCTCTGACTAAGTGTCCAATAGTCTGACCCGGTCTACCTTGTCCTTCTATCCTGCCCCTGCTCCCAATGGGAGCACAAAGCAGCTAACCATACAAAATCACATACGCAGCAGTACACTTGTAATCAGTTACATCAGAACCAGATATGAAAGCAGAATAAAAACATTAGAGAGCAAAGATTGTAAAATCATCCAAAAATACCACTTACACCCCAAAGGCCTGGGGAAATGAAAAAGGTTACCTGAATGGGGCTAATGTGGGGGACATCATAATGCCATTTGGAAGGGAGTTCTGTAACCAGGGAGGCCACCACTGAGAAGGCCCCTTTATACTTTGCTGTCAGCCCAGACAGAACAACAAGCAGGGAATCCCCGACAGGGTAGTTATAATTCAGCATCCTACTATAATGTCACATGTTCTGTATTGGTGCAGTAACATCACATCAGGACTGAACCTGTCTCTTTCTGCCTGCAGTACCGGTGACCTTCGACCCGGACACAGCGAATCCCTACCTGCTCCTCTCTGACAACCTGCTCTGTGTGCAAGTAGGGGATCAAAAGCAAGACCTGCCCAAGAGCTTCTCCCGCTTTGAGACATGTACTTGCCTGCTGGCTTGTCAGCAGTTCACAACTGGGAGACACTACTGGGAAGTGTGTGTGGAGAGCAAGACCAGCTGGACCCTGGGGGTGTGCCGAGAATCTGTGAGCCGCCAAGGAATCTTCACTCCCTCCCCGGCAACTGGCTTCTGGGCTGTGTGGCTGAGGAACGGCAATGAGTACGCAGCCCTCACCTCCCCTCTCACGGAACTGGCTCTGAGAGCCAGGCCTGGGGCAATAGGCATCTTCCTGGACTATGATGCAGGGGAGGTTTCCTTCTATAATGCTGATGATGGGTCGCACATCTTTACCTTTGCAGACTCCTTCTCTGGACCCCTCCGGCCGTACTTCTACCCTGGGGTCCGGGCAGGGGGGCTCAACGATGCTCCCCTCATCATCCGACCAGCATCCAGCAAGACATCAGGGAAATCTTGCTCTTCCCTCCAATGAGTGCTAACTGTGGAACTCACTGCCAGGAGGTAGAGACAAAGTTATATGTGCCAAAGTATTAGATATACAGCCCAGCAAGGAAGATTTGGAAGCTGCAGCTTTTGTCTGGGAAAGATCCACCTAATTTTCCAGACACAAGGCCCAGAAATAATTTTCTTCCAGAATTAGATGTTGCCTTTCCTGAAGCAGGTGGCTTGGCTCACTTTCTTGAGTCCTTTGATGTTGTTTGCTGTATTGAGTGCCTTTCTGCTCCACATCTCATCACATGTGGAATAAAAATGCTTTCCTAATCCTGCAGATGTAGTGCAATGTGTGGTGTAGTGGTTAAGAGCGGTAGTCTGCTAATCTGGGGAACCGGGTTCACGTCTCCGCTCCTCCACTTGCAGCTGCTGGGTGACCTTGGGCCAGTCACGCTTCCTTGAAGTCTCTCAGCCTCACTCACCTCACAGAGTGTTTGTTGTGGGGGAGGAAGGGAAAGGAGAATGTTAGCCCCTTTGAGACTCCTTAAAGGGAGTGAAAGGCGGGATATCAAATCCAAACTCTTCTTCTTCTTCTTCTGCTATGTGTAGGTCTGGTGGATAAAGGGTTGAGGTTCATGGGAAGCAGTTGGGTAGACAGTTCTCTAGTCTGATCCAGCAGAGTTCGCTCCCATTCCCCACAGTCAGATTCATTGCTCAAAAAAAGAAGAAGCCCCAGACCTGAGATTAAACAGGATTCCTTGCAGAACGTCAAATGCAAAACTAAGACTTTCTTCTTCCAGCAAGTATTTTAAGGCTCACTTGGTGCTAAAATTTATTGTTTATATTGCCCCATTTTCTGTGGATTGCTTCTATGTACACTGCTTAGAAATGTTAATAATTAAGTGGTATACAGATGTTTTAAATAAATAAAAATAAAGTAAATGATACTGAATTTCAAATTCGTGGAAAAGCCGCCCCCCATTTCAGTAAAGTGCAAACACAACTTCTGCATGCTTCCCCCCCCCCAAAAAAGGAGTAAGAATTTAATGCCAAGGGAGCATGCCTCCAATCTGAATACATCCAAGCATGATGAGGCAAATTATGAACCCCCGTAATTATGAACTTTGGTGACATCACTAGAGCTTGGCAGCCGCTTGCAGGGTATGGAGGAGCTGAAAGGGCAACTGTGGACAGCTAAATCTAACCCAAGATAAATAAAGGTGAACCATCTCATTACAATGGACTTTGAACTAATACTTTACGAGGGCCTGATCCTCACACAGCCATGAAACTCCCCTGGGTGCCCTTTGGTCAGTTGCTGCTGGAGCTCCTTGGAGGAAAGGTGGGATATAAATTCAGTAATTAAATACTCCTCAGAAAGTGAGCCATTCATTTTTTTCCCTTTAGCTGTTTAAATAGCAAAGTCATCTGGGTGTTTCACAAAACAATATTAAAATGCAATCAGATCACATTACATCAACCATACATTAAAACCATGTTACATACTCTAAAAATTAGTATTTTTGGTTGTAAGAATGAAACAGTTTAGAATTCAGAACTATCTCTTTTTCAGCTAAGGCTGTCTAGGCAAAAATTTGCTGCAAACCTCAGTTTTATAGCCCCACTTGCCGCAAAATGAGGAAAGCAACTCATTTCTTGGGGCTGGGGGGAAGCTTGACAGAGCTTAATGGGATTCTTAAAAACACCATCAGGCAGGCAAATATCATTTTTCTCATGGTCATTTCTCACCAACATGACCCTCAGAGCAGGAACTTCTGGGAAATCCCAAAAAGGTGCCGGAGAGAACAACCACTAGCCCAAGTCCTGAAAGAAAGAGGCTATGTACGCTTTTGACTTTGTCTAATCTCTCCCCCTAGCCCACAAATTCAGACTGCTAAGTTCAGCCTGGCCATTACAGTGGTACCTCGGGTCAAGTACTTAATTCGTTCCGGAGGTCTATTCTTAACCTGAAACTGATCTTAACCTGAAGCACCACTTTAGCTAATGGGGCCTCCTGCTGCCACTGCACGATTTCTGTTCTCATCCTGAAGCAAAGATCTTAACCCGAGGTACTATTTCTGGGTTAGCAGAATCTGTAACCTAAAGCGTCTGTAACCCGAGGTACCACTATAGTTTCAGCTCTCAAAAGTGTAGCCAACCCTCCTTTAAAGAGAGGAGAGAGTCACTGCCAAGCATTTCTTATCATTCTTCGCAGCTACTTCCTGACAAAACGCCCAATCCTGGGAAACATTTCCCAGGGCTTATCCACACTTCTTGGCAAGCTGCTCCCACGCCTCTGCTGGAAAGCCGCTCTGTGGCGCTCCAAAAGATTGCTATTCTGATCGGTTACTAAAGAACGGGGGGGGGGCGGGTTTCCCTTGGAAGAGGAAGGGGGAAAGCGCTCAGACCCCTGCTTTCTCGGCATGGCGCAAGCGGTAGTGTCTCGCTCTGGGACACAAGGAGTGACTTCGGGACGTCCCTCCTGTCTGCCCCATCTGCACCTCTGAAAACTTTGGACGGTACTTTTGTTCCCTTGCAGTCGCTCCGCATCTCACTTCTGGGGCGGCATTTCATTTCCCGCCTCGCCACTGGCAGCCTGTCCCTACCGGCTGATTGTTAGCTTTTACCTGTTGCTAGGAAACTGCTGATGACCTCACTGTTGACGTCATAATGTGATGTTGGCATCATAAGTCCCTAAGACACTGTGGGTTCAAACCATCCTGTATCAAGGAGGATTCTGTGTAGGATTCTTTGCCTTAACAGCAAAAAGAAATGAGCTTGTAAGCTGCCTAAGGTTTATATGAGGAGGCATATTGAATCAAATCTACTTAAACATTTGTAAGGAGCATAGTTTTGGCGCAGAGTTGTACAGTTGTACAGCACAATCAACCAGTGATGCAAACGATACTCCTAGCCTAGACTAATGCATTATTATCCCAGTAGATGGTGTGGCTTTGATAACATTTGTTAGAAAGTGAATATGATGAAACTTTGGTCCAGGAAACTTCAGTCACGGCCTCAACAGGTATCATAATTCACTCTGTTTCTGATAGTTGCCAAATTTTGAGGATGCTGTGCTGTATGGTAAAGGTAAAGGTAAAGGGAACCCTGACCATTAGGTCCAGTCGTGGCTGACTCTGGGGTTGCAGCACTCATCTCACTTTACTGGTTGAGGGAGCCGGCGTACAGCTTCTGGGTCATGTGGCCAGCAAGACTCTGGTGAACCAGAGCAGTGCACAGAAACGCCGTTTACCTTCCCACCGGAGTGGTACCTATTTATCTACTTGCACTTTAACGTGCTTTCTTTTTTTTAAAAAAATCATATTTATTAAAGTTTCCAGACAAGATACAAAAAAATAAAAATAATAATAATAATAATAAATACACTTTAGCTTTACTTTCATATCCTTCTTTCTGGGACTCCCCCCTCCCCCTCCCAAATTGTTTTCCCCTTTCATCAATTTGTTTCAACAAGTTCTTACTCCCAATTTAAAACTTAATTTGTTTAACCCACCATTCAATTTAATTATACAGTCATTCCACTATCCCTTATCATTAACAAAAATAAGAATTTCCCCCAAGGTCCACCCCAATTTCCTTCCACGAATTCCCTTTTTTAATAACCACATCCAATCAAAGTAAAAAATGTCAAAAAGATATAGAGAAATATAAAAGATTAGAAAGAAAACAGATTCAAAAAATAGTTACACAGCCTTTGGATTCCAAATCTCCCCCCCCCTTCCCCGGATTAGGTTCCCCAAATCCATCAATCTGTCTATTTATCAGCCTGGAGGTCTCAAATCCATAGCCAGCTTCCCCAGTTCCACCTTGCCGGTTTTTTATTTTTTAATATGTTTAACTTCAAACGTCCAATCCTGAAAAGGCCCCCAAAGGGCCTTTAGTTTCCTTAATCTTAATGGCTCCTCCCTTGTTCTTTCCAAGTCGTTGTCAGTCCTTTGTTCTTTTTCCTCACATTCTCTCTTTTCCTGTTCCGCTGCTAAAACGTTCTAATTCAGAAGCTTGGTACCTCTACAGAGGTTGTTGTTAGTTCAGGAACAAAAACTTACGTCCAGTCCCTTCCGTTCTTCAATAGATAAATCTATTGTCTCCTTTTTAAAATAAACACCTCTGTAGACGAAATACTGTTTCATTTTCACAGCTTTCCCAGGAGATAACAAGTCCTGTACAATTCCAAGAGTATTTTTCCACTTACGACCGTTCTTGTAATGTCCCGAAACCCCTCTAGGGGGATTTTAGTAACTTTGTTTCCTCTAATCCAAAAGTCAAATTGTTATTCCTTATTTTCGACAGTTTATATCCAGATTGTAACAAAACTAACCAGCAAAGTCCTCATGACAAAGTCCTCATTGTATTCTCCAACTTTGACAGCTACTTTGACAGCTGTCAAAGTCTCTATCTCTCTTCACCAGGCTCTTTTCACGGGTCACCCCGGTTCCCGGGGGGGTTGCACTTTCATTCTCACCATCCACTTTTCTCCTCCAGCACAATTCTTATAATTTCCCATCATGGAATTAATAATTTTGATCAATAAACGAGCTCCTTTCACGACCTTAGTTGCCTGGTCCTTGTTTTAAGATGTTTACAATTGGGAGGAGACTGACTTCCTTTTTGGATCTCCCCCGCTCGTACCGAATCCGAAAAAATTTTCCCCTTTTAAATCCGATTTCCAAATTACTCACGGGTTGTTGTTTATAGTCCAAATTTTCAATAGAAGACGTCAGCGCTCTCCGTCGAATGGCATGCGGCTTCGCTCAGCAGGGAAAGCGGAGGACTCACAGCACCACGCCGCTCCCCGGCACCCGTTCCGTAGCCTTTAAAAAGGCTACTTCACGAGTCGGGAGGGCGCTAATGGTGCCCACCGAGTCAACCATGTCCACTGGCTCCGTGCCAGTGGTTTTTAAGGGTCCCCGCGTCGCCGGCGCGGTAGGACCCAGCCCCTGCCGAGCAGGCTCCCTCCGGAGCTCGGAGGGAGTCCGCCATTCGGCGATGGCGCCAACCCGGAAGTCCACACTTTAGCGTGCTTTCGAACTGCTAGGTTGGCAGGAGCTGGGACCGAGCAACGGGAGCTCACCCCGTCGCAGGGATTCGAACCGCCGACCTTCTGATTGGCAAGTCCTAGGCTCTGTGGTTTAACCCACAGTGCCACCCACGTCCCTATATGCTGTATGGTACTTGTCACCAAATAACACTCTCCCCCAAATTCCCAGAGCAGTTTGCACTTTTAGGAAAAGTGTCAATTAAGGGGAAAAAGGCAAACAAAGTTAATGCCCAGTTAGAGGAGAATTGGATAAATCTGCACTTTAAGAAACAGCATAAAAGATTAGCACTGAAGCATTGGCAAAGGGGTACATTGAAAGCTGCATTAG